TATGTATGTAAAATAATATAATAAATAAAAGGACTTTTTTCCGACTCATATGTGCTCGCAAATTTTGTTGATTAATACTAACTTTTTAGTTTCAGACTATAAAATTACCCAAAGATGACATTTTGGTACCCTAAACCCACTAGGGTCCAGGTCTGGACTTAAATATCCTTTTTCAAACCCATTAAGGTTAGGATTTGAGTTTGAGTCCGAATAAATTTAGTTGTCATCAAACTGAAAGAGTTATAAATTTTCCAAGAACATTATTTGGTTTTCTTGAACTGATTTATATATTTTATATAGATTTGAGGGGCAAATTTATTTGGGTTTTTTAGTGTTCGAAATCTAATACTAATTTGGACTTAATATCCAAAACGAAATAAGCACTTAACAAATAATTCAAAACAAAAATTTTGTCCCGGATTGGCGAAACTTCAAGTATTCTATCCTATCATCTATTCATGTAGACTAGTAAACCAGCCTTATTAAATAATAGAAATTTTTAATTGTTGCCCATGACAAAGAATAATTGCTCCATGGCTGTCCAAGACCACCACCAAATTGGATTGTGTTGGATGGTTTCTGTATGTTTGATCCATTAGAAATTTGTAGGTATTGTTAGTTTCGATGTTTCCTTCTTTGAACACATTGAAGAAACTTCATTCGAAATTTAACTCTATCCATAAAAGAAATTTAACGCAACAACTTCTTTTCTTAAAATAAGACATCAAAATCGACATTAAAGAAATGCCCTAAATAATGTTGAAATTTAAATTTAGAGTCATAACATGTCTTGGTATGTTATGATGAGGTAATACTGAAAAACGTTTCCAAATCATTAAATCACTAAATGAAACTAGCACTTTTAGTAAAGATAATAACATAAATAATTTTATTAAGAACATATGAGCAAGAATTAAATTACCTAGCTAAGAGGGCAAGTTAACTTATACAACGAGGTCTACTTAACTACAAAAATTATACGGATCTAGAACTTGTGCAGTCTATATCATATTCTTGTTGCAATATTCCATAAATATAAATCAAAAGGGGACAAGTTAGAGGTGTGATTGGTTAATTAATATCGTAAGATTCCCGGAGGGACAAGTAACAGGCGTAGGAAATCAAAAGGAAAACGTACAAATTGGTGTAGAAAAGCCTCTAAAAGTCATTTCCTTGAATTGTTTATTTCACCCCATTCTTCAGTAGACAATGACTTTGTGCCTAACTACGTTCTTTATCTTACATATCTTACATATATATAAAAACCTAAGGCTTCTTCTCCCACGTTGATCCACGTTGCAAAACATGGGAGAAGAGCAGCTACTGTGTTTTTCGTTTTCCAGCAATAACCTCATAAAGTGTATCCTGGTCTAAATAGTGTATAACTATTGTAGGGCATTTTTGTCCTTTTACTTAAAATTACGTGTTTGTCCTTCTAGACATAACAGGCTTTCAGAATAGTAGCTCACTATTTGGGCTGAATTTTGATTTTTTACCTGCACCTTTCCTCCTGTTCTTCCGTGTCTTTCCCTTCTTCCTCTACAGTATCACTTTCCGCTTCTTTTGACTTTTAGCCTACCATTTTTCTGCTTCATTCCTATTTCTTTACCGTCTATTTCTTTTTCCTCTCAACAAACGAAAGGAAGGAGTTGGGGTGTAGTGTAGCAGCTGTCTTTTGCCAACAATGCCCTCCAAATTTTAATTTCTGGACTAAGCAGTTAACTACTGTTAAGGGGCTTGTATGTCTTTTACCATTTCATGACAATTTTGCCCTACCAGATATAACATCTTCTCAAAACATTAGGTAACTATTAAGGGTTATTTTTTGCATGTCGGGTCAAATAATCCTCCTTTCTTTTTCATTGCTCCCCCTTTCTTGGACTATTTAGTCTTGGTTTTGATTGTCAAAATTCATTTTTTTCCTATTTTATTAGTTTCAGTGTAGCTGAATATGTTCTTCTAAACTTTTAATACAAATTTAGCCCCATTTTTAAATATGATTACGCACTTAATATTTTCCACATCTTGCAAGTGAACGTATTTGGCATGCTATGTTTACAACCTGATGACCAATGAAGCAAGCAATCCACAAAAGTTTTTCAATTATACCACAAAATCACTGAACTTAATAAAAATTTCTACTAGAATCTCTAATATCGGATTTCTTTTCAACTAAAACTTTAATCCTCGAGCCTAAAAATGCTTTTTAAAAAAATTTTAAACTTAAAAAGAAAAAAGAACAGCAAATAATAACAGTATTTAGGTTGGTATTTCAATTAATAAAAATAAAAAATAATGTTCATAGCTAATATTGTTAGGATCAACATTTCTTCAATTTTAATAGGTGGGCGTGAGTTGTGGTAAACACCGTATTGCATTATATACATCTACATAAGAATTGTCACTACTTACAATTTAGGTGCTCTAAATTATATTTTCTACACAATAGGTTGGGAATTGGTTGTGCTATTGCATTTAGAGGAATGATTATTTAGTCTGATGAGAATTTTGGACCTTTTCAAATGGGTAATTTATTTCTAATTTAGAATAAGAATTAGATACAATTGTGCCCAAGTTTAAAAATAAATAGTGGCAAGGAATTTTTCAATATTTGTTACACAATAGATTGGGCATTGGCACAGCCAGAACCATTCTAGTCTACCTATTATATAAGAAAAAAGCCAAGTTACTATAGTACCCCATCTTTTTGACACATGTATTGCACATATTTTTGACAAGTGGATTCTTGGCCATTTTAGCTAAACTTTTTCTTCCCTTTTTTGATTCAATTGGGCCAAAATAATTAAAATATTTTTTCTCTGACCCAAGTTACTATAGCACCCCATCTTTTTTACACATGTATTGCACATATTTTTGACAAGTGTATTCTTGGTCAATTTAGCTAAACTTTTCCTTCCCTTTTTTGATTCAATTGGACCAAAATAATTAAATTTTTTTTCTCCTTCAGAAAATCAACTGTGTCGCTTCTTCTTCTTCTTGCGGCAAGTGCTGTTATTTTTTATTTTTTAAAACTAATCTAACTAAAATTGTTGCCATGTTCTTTTTTTTTCGTCGAGATGATTAGCTACTTAACAAAGAGAAGTTTTTATTATTTTTTTATCCCATTTTACATTTTCTTTTCTTCCTTTTTTTTTCTTCATGTCTAATCTCTCATATTTGCTCTATTCTTCGATCATAATGTTATAGTCAACTGGCATTTGTTTGTTAAATTTATAGGATGATGCTATTATTTGGTATTTTTCATGGATAAAAGGTGAAATATTAAAATATGTAAAAAGATCTTAGAATTCATTTTATACCAATGATCATTTTCTATGAAGAATAGAACAATAATTCTTTCTTTTCTTTTCTACTCCCATGATTTGATTTCTTACTTCACATTTTTTTTCTTTTTCTTGTTTTTTGGTTACATTTTGTAATTATCTACAATTTTGTGTATTTTTTAAAGAGAAAAGATATATCATGTGATGCTTCCACCAAGATAAATCTAGTTAGGCATTCTTCTACCTCTGTGTTCTATAAGATTTTGTATATATTTAAACTAACGTTAATTTTTGTTTGTTTTTTAATTATTCAGGTTCTGTAGTATCAATTGGGTTGGCATATAAAAATTGTAGTTGGTGGTAGAAGTCACAATTAAAAATTGTTAGAAAATTAAATTTTGATTAGGAAGATATTTTTGCAATAAAAAAAATGGTTCAATTCTAATTTGTATATGTAGATCTGGAAACGTAGCAATTCATATTTTTTTATCTAACCTTGCTATTTATATTTTGGAGCTGCAGGATAATGTTGTCACCTTTAAACGGGATTTAAATAAATAAAGAAAGAAAAATGTGAAACTTTAGAGTAAGTTATATTGATGTTGAAGATTGTGACATGTCTTAGTGGCTTTCTAAACTTTTTCTCATTATTAAAATACTAGAAGCATTATGACTGCTTTTGATTTAGTTACAACTAAGACTATGCTGCTAATTAATACAGCAATGCACTTGTAGTGTATTGATTTTCTCTCTTCTGTGGGTATTATCATAATAATAGTTCAAAAATCTTTATTCAAATCACAATAAATAGGGGTATTGACTTCATAGATGGAATTTCTCTTCACAACAAATTTTGAGGGAAATTTTATTTATACACCATATTTTATTAATTGTATTCCTACAATATGATAAAAATAATAGTGAAAATGTGATTAACAAAAATGAGAGTTCAAATAACATTTGTTAATTTTAATTGTTTTGAGGCCCAATTTTCTTCTATATTTCTATTGATTTATCATGTGCCAAAATAATTTGATGTTATGTGTTTAACTAAATTTCTAGGGGGCCCAAGCTGTGCTTTGCACAGCTCAAGTACCTCTAGTATATATATAAAAACCTAAGTCTTCTTCTCCCACGTTGATCCACGTGGCTGCTTTTGGGGAGGAAGCCTATTGTAGCAGATGTCTTTTACCAAAAATGTCCTCCAAATTTTAACTTCTAAGCTGAACAGTGAACTACTGTTAAGGGGTCATACGTCTTTTACTATCTAATTACAACTTTGTCCTACCAAACATAACATCACCTCAAAACAGCAGGTCACTGTTAAGGGTTATTTTCGGTATGTTGGATCAAATTATCCTCCTTTCCTTTTCATTATTGTTTCCCGTTTCTTTCACTGCTCCTCTTCTCTTCGGTGGAAAAAGAGCAGCAGACAGGTAGCTAAACAGCTTTTAGAGACAGTGGCCAAAAATGGGTTGTCTACCTGCTAGGTGTTCTTCCAAAACAAACAAAGAAAAGCATGAATTCAACTCTTCCGCCCACTTGGTCAACAATCTCATGCTTTCTCTCTCTTTCCCCTTATTTACTTTCTCCTTCGTTTTGCTTTTCTGGTTTATAGACAAAGAAAAGTGCCAATTGAATTCCTCCAACATTTGGTCAACAATTTGAAGATTGTCTTCACCAAATTACGGCTGCTCATTATCTGCTAAGCAACAATACTGTGTTCTTCCGTGGCTTAAAATGACTGTAGTTTTTAGGTTCTAACTTCATTTATTGGCTGAATATGGCTGAAAATGATTGTACGTCTGCAATCTTTCCTACTAAAGCTAATTATTCCTTTCTTTTTGTCTAAAAAAACTTGTTTGAGAGGTGATTTTTGGTGGTTGTTGTGGCACTGATGCTATGCATTTACTCTGGTTTTCATGTTAATGTGAGAGTACAAGTGCAAGAGACAGGCTATGTATATTTCTCTTTTACCCTATTGTGGGGTTTATGTTAGAAATTCGATGCAGGAAGCAATGTTGTTTGGTTTTTTATGCTTTTGCAGATATTCACATGGATGGAGGCTAAAGAAAGATCTCGAATGTCTGCTGCTGATCATGCAATGGTAATTTTTTGATTTTTTGATTTTTTTTTATTGGAATTGACAATTAAAGTGCACACTGTAGGGGAAGCAAAGAGTATTTTGAAACTTTGCCTGCCACTGTTTCTAAGAAAGCCGCCTGTCTCCATCTTCTTCACTCTTATGTTAAAGAAAGGTCCACTGACAAGGCCGAGGCTTTGATGCAGAAGATGAACAGCTTGGGGCTAATTGTAAACCCTTATCCATTTAACGAGATGATGAAGCTTTACATAGCAACATCTCAACATAAGAAAGTACTCACTGTCATGGTGCAGATGAAACAAAATCGAATACCAAGAAATGCCCTATCGTACAACCTTTGGATGAATGCGTGTGCAGAGCTGTTGGGTGTTGGATCAGCTGAGGAGGTTTACAAAGAAACCATACATGACAAAAATGTTGTGATAGGATGGAGCTCTTTATCTATTATTTTCTTCTGTTTGCATCCTCATATAACTCACTATACCTCTGAAGATATTCAGCTTTGGTTCCTTCCTGTTAAAAAAACACATTTCAATATTTTTTTGCACAATACCTTGGGCAAGGCACAGCCAAAAATACTCTAGTATATATATATATAAAGGCATAAAGCTACTTTTGACCTTCAAGCATTTTCAAAATCTCCTAACGTGTAATAGACTATGCTATAAAAAAATCTTTAAATTGATTTTGAAGTTTATATTTTGCTGATGCTTTGGTCTTGGTAATCATTGGTTCATTAAATAAAGATTAGTCTAATCTAGTGATTACCCTATTCATCTTTGGAAAATGCAGGCAGGGTAACTTTAAAATGACAGATGAACGCAAGTTCAGTTGGTTGATTTATAAAAGTAAATGATTTTTTATTTGTTGCGTTAAGAATATACTGGTGAGATTACATTATTCTCTCTCAAAAAATAATAAATTCTCCTAATGTGTCCCATTCCATGCCCAAGAAATCTTGAAAAAAAAATATCTTGCTGATGCATTGGGCTTATTTGTGTATTTCCGGTAATGACTAGTTGATTGTATAATATTAGAATCTATTCTAGTGATAAATCTATTCATCTATGGAATAGTCGATGGTCAATAGATCACCGAGCACGTGGCTCTGAAGTAACAGATCACAGCAGGCTATATTGTCGATTGCCAGAAGTTCATTATCCCTTCCCCCGCCCCCGCCGGGGCCCGCCCCGCCCCGCCCCCACAACCCACAAAATCATTGTACATCAAAGAAAACAAATCTCATTTTTTGTTTGGATTTGGTGGAAATACGCAATTTGAAGTCAGAATCACTTTCGCAATTATGTCAATTTTCCTATGAGATTTTTGCAACACCTTGCCAATAGACACTAAAATTATTAGAGTTTTACAATGTAATTTTCTTTTTTATATTTAGATCTGCAGTATCCATTATTCATATATATTCTTTGATATCTATGTATATGCTTAATAATGTAACTTCTATAGTGGGAGAGAGAAGGGATGGATTAGATGGTTCGAGAGGAGAAAATATAAGTAAGATATTCCGAATTCAAGTCCGACCACCTACACAAGAAAAAAATAGAAATAAAAAGATATAACTTCTTTCATTAGTAATATTTTAATGAAATTATAATATTTTATATAAAAAAAGACATTCGTTAGCACACCTAAATTAATCTTAATTTATTGTGTGAATGCACATTTATATTTATTATACCCTATGCATTTAGACGTTTTTCTAAATTAATTTCATTCTTGTCAAAAAAAATTAACATTTGAGACTCCTTTTGACGAATGCTCCCTTTACCAAATCCTTCTTGTAAAACATAGTAGATATCATTGCCTAAATATAAATGCGGCTTGACTCAGGGACGGAGCCAGAAATTTATTTTTGGGGGGGCTGAAGTGTATTAAAAAAATTTTTTTGTGACGAAATAAATATATTTAATAAGTAAAATTTAGAATCAATAATTATAAAAATAATAAAAACATATAATTATACATACCCAAAAATTTGTTATTGATTAACACTTGAAGTATTGGTAGTTGTTGCACTCGAATAACGAAGAGGAGGCAATTGCATTCTGCGAGTCTTCATCCGTTGAAAACGCTGCAATATTTGCTCATTTTCAATTGTTGCAAAAATATCCTTCTCGATGTATACAACCAGACAGTCATTCAACTTGCGTGTTGTATTACAATGGATCAAGAAAAGTACTACTCATTCAACCGTCGCCACAAACAATTGCTTGTTCATTTGTTCCTTCAGATTTTATTTTTAGCACGTTACCATCAAGTCCAAGAATTCAACTAGAAAATATTTGGGCCTGCAAGTGAAGCTGGTGGATCAATAATAATATGTATATTGCACAAACCCAATGGAAAAGCTACAAGAAGCAAAGTCAAAAGTTGCTACGAAGCTAAGTCCCATCATGCCCAAATTGATTCCTGCTGCTTCTGCTAAGATCCGGGTCGTGCCCCGTGACATAAGTTTTTGCGTTAGAAGATCGTAACAGAGAAGGATATCTTTTTTGTCTCGTTCATAAGGCGAAATGGTTAAAAATCTAGGAGTGTGCAGCAAAAGATTCTTCTGACGGGTTTGCGCAACATATAGAGCCTATCCAATCCAAAACCATCCGCTGATTTTTGAAGGAGGTTTACAGAGAGCAAAGCTGGCCTGGGGCTCCATTCTAAATTAATGGGGCCCGGCGGCCTTCAATGCTGTAACTAATTGTTTAGAGTTCAATGTTGATGGTCCAGAGGTACAGCGCTCTCTCTGGGACTGGGACTGGGACTGGGAGATCGAGGGTTACCAATCCAGAGGCTTCTTCAAAATGAAACTGGACTTCCTCTGTGTCAACTGTGATTCTTTTGGGTCTGACTGATGAATAGGCTCCAAAAGTACCACATCCCCGTGCTTTGACGCATATGTTCTTTCCATAACCCACTTCTTTGACCGCTCCACCTGAATTGAACATCCTGATGAGGCCTATAGGAGCGAATCGAGAACCATTTGATGTTTCCTTGACAGGAACAACCGTGAAAACCTCGTACTCCCGTGCCATCAGTGTAATTGGCAGAGCAGCATTGCTTGGAAGGTAGGGGGGTTTTCCGGCGGCTTGGGGGGGGCTTAAGCCCCCACCAGCCCCCCCTTAAATCCGTGGCTGGCTTGACTAATGGGTGCCTATCGCTAAGAGATGGGTACCAAGTATTAGTTTTTTAAAAAAATATAGTTAATGTAGAAAAGTATCTAATAATATTGATGGAATATTTGTAATTGTGTTTTTTCGCATAATAAGTCAAGTGTAATTTTACATATGTTAATGAAACCCTAAAAAAATCCAGATTATACTTCTTGTCTATTTATTGACCCATTGCTCACCAGTTGTGATGCAACGCTAGGAACATACAAAACCCCGTGAAATAAAAGTACTGTATCCATTTTTCTAGCTAATGAGGAACCTTTTATACAACAATCATAAGTATGACAGTATTATTACCAAATCTTTGTCTTTGGTTGCATTTTCCCGAATTTGAGCAAAGGATGGTTTTCAAAATCTTCTGTTTTTCTTTTGCATAATAGTTTTCTAAATCTTAAATGCAAAATGGTGAAACACCAGCCTTGATGTCAAAGTTGTTGGCACATGATATCAAATGGGTAGCCTTGATGATTATCTTCTGTTGTGTGAATCAGAGCACATTGGTAGCACTGTGGAAATTAAAGGAATTATCAATCAAAATCAGCAAGTCAGCGCAGTTGCAATTGTAGGAGGAACCAAACAACTTCGGTATGCAACAAGGCATACGACTTTTACAGGTACCTCGGTTGTAAATGCTACAGGGCATAATGTTTATAAGTTGGACCTCTACATTAGACGGGACTTACATGGTGACTACCCTGATATTGCTCTTTATTGATAACTGATATATGTACCTCATAAATAAACTTGGCCCTGGGTCTAATAGGTCATCAGGTCAAGAGTTTCTCCATATATCAATCGTCAAGATGTGTGATGTGAGCTGCATATTTCTTGAGGTACTTGGCATTTAGTCAAGTTGACTCTATCAATAAAACATTGTGGTGTGCAATGCTTTTGAATAATTTTGTGTAACTGTTGTTAGATCCTAAGGCAAGAATGTGTCCTCTTCACTAATTAAAATCTGAATAATCTAGATACAGTTATAGTTGTTCTTCGTACCTATATATATATATATAGGTAAACATATTACCATAAAAAATTAATATTATTACAAATTTGATGTCATTGTTTGTACTGTCAATAAATTAATGATTTACATGAATTTTGCAAATATTAGAATCAAGTAGTAACAAATCCCTTAGTTCCTTCACGTCTTTTAATAAATTAGATAGATCCATCCTTTTCCCTCTTTCCCAGTAAAGGATCATTATAATATTTTTGCACTTGAATTTGTATAAAAAAAAATTCCCCTACAACATTGAAGAAAGTTTCTAAAAGTAGAAAATATACTTAGTACACGGTACCCAAGAGCCAAGACTGATGCTAAAACTTGTCAAAAAATGGATGCTGTAGTTACATCGAGATGTGGCCCACGGATGGGCAGGGAAAAAAACATGATTCAAAGATCTTATTAATTTGCTGCTGACAATATCCTGTTTCCGTCAATTGAGATGCAAATAGTATGAGTAATTCCAGAAAGCATGGTATGACTTGTAAGATTATCTTCCCTTCGTGCAGCATAGAAGTTTTTGCCAAAAATTTGAATAGCATTTTTTACCACAGGCCTTGAATAAATGAAACAAACTTTTTTTTTTTACCTTGCAAAATTCCAAGTGTTGAGTCGCATATTGCTCAAGTGTTTTCCAGTCAGACTGTTCTAAAAAAAATATAATACTAACATATAAACTGTCAATATAATATATAAAGTCTGATGAAGGGGTTTGAGGTTAATATTGGGATTAATATTTATCTCACTTCACGATCTTCCTTTTTTACTCTTATAAAAACTATTTTTACTTTAATTACCTATAACTACCTATAACTGTTTGTACTTTTGACTATTTAACTATATGTTTTCAACATAATTATCCCTAAACACTGTAACTACTAATATAAAGTTATTTTATGAAAATATTTAAAAGATTAAAGTTTGCTTCAATAATAAAAATTTAATGTAAAATATATAACATAAATATTATGCATTTTTGATTGCACACATATTGAATGTGCATTGAGCACTAGTTGTACATAGTCCTCGACCACGAAGTTCAAAGCTTGGCCTTATCCTCAATAGGTTCTTGTGACCGCATTTGAAGAAGAAACGCATAGTTATATGGAATTAATTATACATGACTTTCAAAATTATACATATTTTAAGGTGCAACTTCTCACAATTAATGTGTAATCTTGTACACAACTTATATGATATCTTTTAGAAACTATAATTGAGAACAACATTTTGGTGAAAAGGAAACAATCTAATTAACATAGAGTATTACACAAAATTCGTTTAAGAGTGTAAATTCTTTTCACAAGGCAACCTCTTTGTTGGACAAACTCCTCGGAGGAAGAATACTATATTATGTGTTTGGATAGGAAATTATTTGAAATAATTATTGTAG